GCAGCACTGTGAGAAATACGCTGTAACAAATTCCCAGTGAATCCATTAGGTGAATATACAAAATCATAGTAAGCATCAGGGCAAATAGTACAAAAACACTTTTGAGAAATGCAGCTAAGAATACAGAGAGCACTGGTTCTAGTAATATATTCTTCTGAATCATCATACACTTCTAATGTAAAATACAAAATTCTAAATGGTACATTACATCCACAGATAATACAAAATTTATATACCTTGCAAAAACATTTCTACAAGTACAGACAATACTTGAATGATCATAATAATAATTTACTTTCATCTTTTACAACTAGAGCTTATTTTAAATGTTTTCTCTACTTTTCAATGAAAAGTCATGTTTCCTTACATTAAACTTAGGAAAAATCTTAATATTATGCTCCTATATGGTAGTTCCACTAATCTAATTTTGGTTTTAATATGATTCTTTAAGTGAGAAATGCCCTCTTTAACTATATTCAATAAAAATAAATTAATAAATAAAACACGAACTCTCCTTCACATCTGAGCATTGATTTTTCCATATAACATTGTCTCAGATGAGCAGATTCAACCCAAGTTAATGCATCCACATATTCCTTGTCAGAATAACACCAGCTGTTTATCTAAAAATTGTTCACCAGGAACTGCATATCTTCCATTAATTGTAGGAAGAAAGAAAGGTGTGGAGAGATTTGGATTCTCTTCTATGAATAAGTTTATGCCAGGAAATTATAAAACAAAGGTTTCCCTTCAGTGATTTTCTTTTAATTTAGAATAAAATTTATTTTCACAAAAATATATTAATTACATACTCCTAAATGAAAAAGGAAATTACAAAATATGGCATTAGTAGAGTTTATATTTAAGAGTTGAAGATGGCTGGCTAGCAGCAGCTCAGGATCGCAGCTCCCAGTGAAGGTGCAGGGAGTGAGTGGATGCCAGACTTCCAGATGAATTTTTGTTGCCTACGGACCAGGAGATTCCCCACGGAGGAGCCCCACGGGTCAGCAGCGCGACTCTTTTGGCCAGTGCAGCTGTTTTGCTGGCACCCCAGCGCGGTGGTTCTCAGTGCAGAGTATACGGGACTGGGTGCCCTTTTAGCTGACAGTTTGGCACTCTGGGAAGACAGAGTCGCCCATTGAGTTGATTGAAAAGGGGACTGAAGCCGGGAGCCAGACCAGGAGATTCCCAGGCAGAGAAGCACCACGAATCTCAACACCACTGTTTCAGCCTGCGCGGTCGCCTCACGAGAAACTGCATAGATCCCGGCACCTTTTCGGCGGGCGACTGGGGCACCTGGGAGAGAATCGACCGTTCAATTAGGAAAAGAAAAAAAGGGGGCTCCGAGGTGGGGAGCCAGGTGATCGGGCTCAGCAGGTCCCAACCCCACAAAAAAACAGCAACTGGAAACGCTGACAGTTGAGAGTTTCACAGCAAGCACAGCTGAACCTGGGAAGGTCCAGCTCTGTGGGGAAGGGGCGTCCGCCAAAGGAAAACAAAGAAACAGAAATAACATCACCACCAACAAGCTGATGTCCATTCAGAGACCCAATCTGAAAGTCAGCAATTACACAGACAACAGGTGGATAAATCCACAAAGATGGGAAGAAACCAGTTCAAAAAGGCTGAAAACATCCGAAACCAGAATGCTTCTCCTCCTTCAGGGCATCGCAGCTCCTCATCAGCAAGGGAACAAGGCCTGATGGAGAATGAGTGTCCGTGAATTGTCAGGATCAGGCTTCAGAAGGTGGCTAATAAGAAACTTCTGTGAGCTAAAAGAACACGTTCTAACCCAATGCAAAGACACTAAGAACCTTGAAAAAAGGTTTGACGAAATGCTAACGACAATCGACAATTTAGAAAGGAAAAAGTGAATTAACGGAGCTGAAAAACACAATACAAGAACTTTGCGAAGTATGCACAAGTTTTAACAGTCGAATTTATCAAGCAGAAGAAAGAATATCACAGGTCGAAGACCAACTCAATGAAATAAAACGAGAAGACAAGATTAGAGAAAAAAGGGTAAAAGGAATGAGCAAAGTCTCCAAGAAATATGGGACTATGTGAAAAGACCTAATCTATGTTTGATAGGTGTACCTGAATGTGACGAAGAGAATGAATCCAAGTTGGAAAATATTCTTCAGGATGTTATTCAAGAAAACTTTCCCAACCTAGCAAAGCAGGACAATATTCAACTCCAGGTAATATAGAGAACACCACAAAGATATTCCTCAAGAAGAGCAACCCCAAGGCACATAATTGTCAGATTCACCAGGGTTGAAATGAAGGAGAAAATGCTAAGGGCAGCCAGAGAGAAAGGTCAGGTTACCCACAAAGGGAAGCCTATCAGACTCACAGCAGATCTCTCAGCAGAAACTCTACAAGCCAGAAGACAGTGGATGCCAATATTCAACATTCTTAAAGAAAAGAACTTTCAACCCAGAATTTCATATCCAGCCAAACTAAGCTTCATAACTGAAGGAATAAAATTTTTTGTGAATAAGCTAGTACTCAGAGATTTCATCACCACCAGGCCAGCTTCACAAGAGCTTCTGAAAGAAGCACTACACATAGAAAGGAACAACCACTATCAGCCATTCCAAAAATATTCCAAAAGGTAAAGAGCATCAATATAATGAAGAATCTACATCAACTAATGGGCAACAGCCAGCTAGCATCAAATGGCAGTATTAAACTCACATATATTATTATTAATCCTAAATTTAAATCGACTAAATGCCCCAATCAAAAGACACAAACAGGCAAATTGGATAAAAAGCCAAAACCCATCGGTATGCTGCATCCCGACCCATCTCACATGCAAGGATACATAAAGACTCAAAACAAAGGGATGGAGGAAGATTTACCAACCAAATGGAGAGCAAAAAATAAAATAAAAAGCAGGAGTAGCAATTCTCGCCTCTGATAAAATAGACTTTAAAGCAACAAAGATCAAAAGAGGCAAAGAAGGACATTACATAATGGTAAAAGAATCAATGCAACAAGAAAAGCTAATGAACCTAACTATATATGCACCCAATACAGGAGCACCCAGATACATAAGGCAAGTTCTTAATGACTTATAAAGAGACTTAGACTCCCACACAACAATAGTGGGAGAATTTAACATCACATTGTCAATATTAGACAGATCAACGAGACAGAAAATTAACAAGGATATCCAGGACTTGAACTCAGATCTGGAACAAATAAACTTAATAAACATTTATAGAACTCTCCACCCCAAATCCACAAAACATACATTCTTATCAGTACCACATCACACCTACTCTAAAAGTGACTACATAATTGGAAGTAAACCACTCCTCAGTAATTCCATAGCATTTCACAGGTTTAAAGAAAATATTGGTTGGCTGCTTGTTTGTTATTTTCCTTCCTTATTCCTTCCTGTCTCCATTGTTAAGCACAATTATTCACATAAAAGATGTTTTCAATACCCATTTTTAGACTATATTCTAGCCTGGGCAATAAAGCAAGACTACTGTTCTCTCTCTCTATTTCTCTTTCATTCTTTTTTCTTTCTTTCTCTCTTTCTTTTTTTCTTTCTCTTTTTTTCTTTTTCAAAAAAAAAACAAGTTACTCATCAATACGTATTAATATATATGCACTGAGGAAAGTTAAGGCTGCTATTCAACAATGTGGTATGTGGCTGGCGCTGGGTGGTGAAATTATGGATAGCTAATATTTACGTTTTTTAATTTTTTATTTTTATAGATTTAAGGGTAAAAGTACAGTTGTTTTACATGGATATATTGCATAGTGGTGAAGTCTGAGCTACTGGTGTACCCATCACCCAGATGGTGGACATTTTACCCATACTGTAATTTCCTCCCACTCTCCCACCTTTTGGAGTCTCCAGTATCCATTTTTCCATTCTATATGTCCATATGTACTCATGGTTTAGCTTCTACTTATAAATGAAAATATATAGTTTTTGACTTTCTGTTTCTGAGTCATTTCACAAAGGATGATGTCCTCGAGTTGCTGCAAAAGGCCTGATTTCATTCATTTTTACAGCTGAATAATACTCCGTTATAAATAAATGCCACATTTTTTATCCTACCATCTGCTGATGGACACTTAGGTTGATTCCATGACTCTGTTATTATCAACAGTGCTGCAATAAACATATGAGTGTGGGTGTTATTTTTATACAACTGGGTAGATCCCTAGTAGTGGAATTGCTGGACTGAAGTCAAAACCACAATGAGATATCATCTTACACCAGTCAAAACAGCTATTATTAAAAAGTTAAAAGTAACAGATGTTGGCAAGAATATGGAGATAAGAGAACACTCATATATGGTTAGTCACAATGTAAATTGGTTTAACCTGTATGGAAAACAGTATAGAGAACTCTATTTTTTTAATAAACTTATTTTTAGAGCAGTTTTAAGTTCACAGCAAAACTGATTAGAAGGTACAAAGATGTCCCATATACCTCCTACTCCCACACATGGACAGCCTTCCCCATTATCAATATCCCCCACCAGAGAGGTACATTTGTTAACAACTGATGAACTTATATATCATTATCAACCAAAGTCCACAGTTTATATTACTCCTTTTGGAGAATTTTCAAATACTGAAATTCCTCTAATAGGAATAAACTAGCACTTTCCTCTTGGCTTTCTATAATTTTATTATTATTTCAGAAATTAGCTTATCTTTAAAGTAGAAAATGTTATAAACCATGAAAAGACTACCAAATACCTAAGGAAGTAATTGTTATATAATAAATTTACCATCTCCTAAACAACTCTTTGTATTCCCCTCTTGTTGGTAAGTTACAATTGTGATAGTTCTGATCATCTGTTTAATTAATTTGCTAGTGAAGCCTCTCAAATTCTTTACAACTAAACAAAAATTCAGTTTTCCAAAATTAAAGCTCTGGTATATTATATATATATCAGCTTCACTCAACTCTTTCATTTAATCCAAAAGAAAAAGAAGACAATGTCATTTAAAATATAACATACTCAGCTGCTTGTTTGTAGTGCTTCAAGTCTTTCTTTAAATTTTTGTTTTCATTTTCCAAAAGCATAATCTGGGTGTAGACATCTGGAACATTCCCAACAGTTCTAAGTTCAGTTACTCCTTTTTGTATTAACTCATACCTAGGATAAAATCAAACAAAAGGCTTTATGCCATTTCCTTCTGCCAAATTAGCTTAATTTATGTACAATTCAAAAATTTAAGTCTCAGGAAATGTTATAGTAATTAGTTGCAGTGTTACATTTACAAGTTAAAATGTCCAACGTTCACAGCATATTTTGGAATAAAATATGAATACACTTCTAGGTACTAATACCAGCATGGTATATAAAATATAATAAGTGAACATCTCCTATCTTCCAGGCATTGGGCTAGACAATAGCAAAGTTGACAAAAGTCCCTATATCATGGAGTTTGCATTCTAGTGGGGAGGGTGACAAGTTCTATGAAGTTAAATAAGCTGGCTAAAAGACATAGAGTGATGAGAGTGCTTGTCCTATCTTACAGAGGGTGAGCATAAATGACAAACATGACTGACAAACTGATACCTGAACAGAGATCTAAAGGAAATGAGGGTCTGTGCTATGCAGATATCTGGGAAAAAGCAGCTGGGGCAGATGGAAAAGTAAATGCAATGTCCCTGAAACAAAGAAGTATTTGGCAACTACAAGAAATAGCAAACAGCCAGGGTATCTGGATTGCCTGGAACCAAAGCCAACTAAGTGACCTAGGAGAGTGGTGAAAGGTGAGTCAGGAAAACAGTAGGGAGCCACAGTGAGGAAAGCAATTTTACTCTGAATCAGAAGTAAACCCTTGGAAGGTTCTGAGACAAGTGACACTGACCAGATTTATGTTTTAAAGGGATTAGTCTAGCAAGCACAGAATAAGAGACCAGTTAGCAGGCTATCGCAATAGTCAAGGGGACAGAGCATAGTGGCTTGAAGAAAGTTGGTAGCAGTACAGGTTATGAGAAGTCAGTATGTTGTAGACATGCTGTAAAAGTGGGGCCAGGAGGATTTGCTGACGGATCAGCTGTCAGGTGTTGCTGGATGAGAGAAGTCAGGCTCGACTCCAGGGTTTTCGGCTGAGCAACAGATAGCCATTTGTTTACTAAATGGGGACAAATGAGGGAGCAACTGGGTGGTTGGAGTAATTAAGGGATTGTTTCCATTCATGTTAAATGTAACATGTCTAGCATTCAAGGAAGATAAACATTGAGTATTCATGTTCAAAGTTCAGGAAGAAAGTCAGAGTGGGCAATTTAAATGTGGTAATAAACATTGTAGATACTATTTAAAGTCTTGAGACTGGAAGAGACCAGATAGGCAGTGAGAAATGAAAGTAAAGAAATTAATCCTAGGACTGAGCCATAAACAGTCCATTGCTTCCAGGTTGAGGGGAAAAGAAAACACTACCAAAAGAGACTAAGCAGAGAGGCCAGTGAAGTAGTCAGAGAATCTGAGGGTTCTGTGCCCAGGGCCCCAATGAAGAAAATGTTAAGACCTGGAACCAACCCAAATGCCCATCAATGACAGACTGGACAAGGAAAATGTGGCATGTATACACCATGGAATATTATGCAGCCATAAAAAATGATGAGTTTGTGTCCTTTGTAGGGACATGGATGAATCTGGAAACCATCATTCTCAGCAAACTGACACAAGAGCAGAAAATCAAACACCACATGTTCTCACTCATAGGTGGGTGTTGAACAATGAGAACATATGGACACAGGGAGGGGAGCATCACACACTGGGGTCTGTTTGGGGGAGGCCAAGGGAGGGACAGCAGGGGGCTGGGGGGACAGGGAGGGATAACATGAGGAGAAATGGCAGATGTGGGTGACGGGGGGATGGAGGCAGCAAACCACATTGCCATGTGTGTACCTACGCAACAATCCTTCATGATCTGCACATGTACCCCGGAACCTAAAGTACAATTAAAAAAAAAAATCCTCAGCTGTAACTGAAATAAAATTTTTTAAAAAAAGGAAGAAATGAACAACAGTGACAAATGCTGCCAGGAATCTAAAAAGATTCCTGAGAATCAATCAATGAAGTTCGCACTGTGAAAGTCACAAAAAAAGAAAAAAAAAAGGTTCAGTAGAGTCATGGGGATAAAAGCCAAACTGAGACTAGGTCTGAGAGGCTAGGAAATGAGGAAGTGGCCAACAAACTTTTTTCAAGGAGATATGCTCTAAAGCAGAACATAGGGAATCAAGATGAACTTAGAAGATATGAAATGTAGGGTGGTTCTTCTCTTCCTTTTTAAAAATGTGAGATTATTATACAACTGTATGACTATGGGAATTACCCAGCAAAGAGGGAAAAAACTGACAATGGAGGTAAAAGAGGTACAATTACAAAAGCAATATCCTTAAGTCAGTGAGAGGAGCTGGCATCAAGCAGACAAAATGAGGGCTGGCCTCAGATAACAACTTGCATAGTCTAGAGTCTGTGACAGAAGAGAAGAATACCTGAGGCCAGAGGCAGTGGAGTGGTAAAAAGGGAGGTGGGAGTGATGGAACTTCTATTCTCTCAGTGAAATAAGAAGCAACGACAGAGAATCAATTATAGATTGTAAATAATTACAATTTTAATCACTGTGTATGGTAATCAATAAAGTTAAAAAAATTGAGCACAGAAAAATATTTCAAGTAATAAAGTTATTAATAAATCCCTACAAAGTTTATTCTAGATAAGCTAAATATTAGACCTAAAAATTATAAATTATCAGTAGTTTCATATCATAAATCATAACTTTAATAATGTTACATATTAATAAAGTCATATATTTTGTGTTATATACTTTATCTGATTTTTTTTAAAAAAGAGCAAGAGGACCCCCCCATAGAATATCCTGAAGGTTAAGGTAACTAAATTAATATTCCATTATATTTGACACAATTTATAAAACAGGAAACAGGTAACAACTGAATCATAAATTCAGTATAAAACATGTACTTGGAATTTGATTTATACTTATATCAGAAAAGAAGACATAGGGATTGACTGAAGTATTAGACTATAAGCTTTTTCTGACCATAAAATTGGTTTTCAGCAACTTGCTTTAGTGAATGTGGAAAATACACTGGAGAAATTTTCTATGAGGAAAAAAGTGATTTAATAGTTTTTCCTCTAAATTGAATACTATAAATAAAATAATATGTGGTAAAAGAAGGACAAATCCAAATACAACATTTATTATATATCTCAGGACATTCAAAAATTACTTATCAAGTAAATGTTATGAAATATGAAAGATGACTTTAGGCTCACTATTAGATAATAATATAAGTAATTAGGAATCTTAATGCACAAACTCCAGAAGTATGCTTCTCAATAAAATCTGAATTCTCCAATATAATATTTTTGGGGTTTGCTTCAGTTTATATGTATCTCTTGCTTTATTTTAAGAAAGACCCTGACTTTTTATGTCTTCCTTCTTTTTCACTCACTCTTAAAATAAGACTCAAAGTGTTCAGGTGGGAAAAAAGATTGCCATTAACTATTAGAAATTTAAAATACAATTTGCTCTCAATGAAATTGTCAATAAAATTATCACTAATAAAATTCCATTAATGCTCTTAATATTTACCAGGAGAGCCATAAACTACTTAGAATTATGTAGAAATGGAGAAGATGCATGAATTTCAGGAAGAAAGTGCATAAAAATTGCATAAAATTTTGTCTACATACAAAAAGCATAGGAGAGCCATAAACTACTTAGAATTATGTAGAAATGGAGAAGATGTATGAATTTCAGGAAGAAAGTGCACAGAAATTGCATAAAATTTTGTCTATATACAAAAAGCATTTAAGACCCACTGCCATAAATGATGAATATTATGACAGAATTCCAGTAAACATACAAATGGTGTCAGAGGAATAAGGATTATTTTTCCTCATGATGGCACCCAAGGCATAGGATGTAAAAGACAGGGGAAAGGTTACCCAAATTACAATCTCCTTATAAGAAGCATATAATGAAAAGTTTTCCTCCAGGTTTTCAAAAAGATTTAGGCAAATATATTACCAACATAGACAAAATTATTTTAATTACTGTACAAATTAAGGATGTTAGAATCCCCAGCACTATCATAACTATCACTGTAGAAGGAGACAGTCCCTCTCAGGAAAAATATAGCATAGTTGAAGTGTTTATTACTGGCCCCATGATTCCTCAAACTAATACAGAAAATAGGCACATATTTGGATTCTAAATTAATATTTTCTTAAGTTCTTTTAGTATCCAGCCAAGCCAAAAGGCACCTTTATTAATTTTTTCCAAGATTTTCTTGTATAATTGTACAATATAGCCCTGTGGTTAGGATACTGATCTTTAAGATCAGTATGTCCTAGGTTGATTTTAGCTCTTACTGGCTATGACTTGCTGACACTCACTGAGGAGATTTCCTAATCTCCCTATCCCCTTTCCTCATCAGTAAAATAGAAATACGACTGTGGCTACCTGCTACAGTTGTTGAGAGAAGTAAATGAAATAATGCATGATAATATATACTATATCAATAAAAATGATACAAAGTAAATTTCTGAGTGATAAGCCTAAGGTTTCACCTTCTTAATATTTTTAAATCCCTCATATTTAATAAATACAGTATTAATTTTATTTTTAAAATTTAAATACCTACAAGACTGCTTTCTTAATATCATAGTACATAAATCTGTGCAGATGTATTTGCAGCGGTCAAATTTATCATAATGTAACATAGCAAAAATTATCTTTTGCTAACTTTTATGTTATGTAGAAGAGTCACTACATAAGTTAAACATATGTGTTTAACTTAATAATGATTGGGGAAACAATATTCTTCTGGCACATATAACTAGAAGCCAAGTCCTCATTAATTGAAGAAACAGCAATAAGATTAAATGACAAAGGAACAAGTATTTGTGTAGTGTTCATTGGACGTCATTAATGTATACCCAACACCACGTATACTTCCTGTACATTCTGGGCAACGTAAGGGCTATATCAAGTGTAATTTTAATCCTAGGTTCTGGTTTTAAAAACTTAATCATCCCCAGAAAGTTATAACTGCACTGCTCACATTTAACTGATTAAATGTTATGCCAAATTTTATTGTGTAAAAGCTGCAACGTTTCTTTCTTACAAATTAACAAAATATATCCTTAATTTACAATTTCTTCCATTATTACAATAAAGTTAAATTAGTAATTAAATGTTATAAATACTTGCGCTATTACTTTTGATGGCATTTTCATTACCACTCTACCTTTAGTGAAATGGTGGGAATAGGCCAAACTGGAGAGAACCAAGTGTTTAATAGGAAGTAAAAAGGTGAAGAAAGAAAAAAAATTTAAACTCTGTTTTCAAAACATTGGCTGGAAAGGGAAAAAGGGTTTTAAAGAAAAAGTGGTAGTAAGAGGCAAAAAAGAGTACAAATGTATCTTTAGGGTGAGTAGTTCTGACAGTGTTAATAGACAGGGGAACAATCCAATGTAGGACGATAGATGGATATGAGTACCAGCATTGGATTACCATATTTACTCCATTTGAATTTCTTCTTTGATTTTTCCCCCTGAGAAATTACCATTGTCCATAGACAATTCTAAAACAGACATAAAGATAGTGCTGAAATATTGACTAAACCTGCAATGGAAACTTTTTAGTGATTTATAGAACAAATTCCTACTATATTCTGGCAACTCTTTTCTGTAAAGGGTCAGAAAATAACTATTTTAGAATTTGCAAAACTATCTTTATAGGCCATATCATCCCTGTTGTGACTGATTAACTTTGCTTTTATAGAGTGAAAGCAGCCATATACAATACCTAAAGAAAGGTCACATCCGTGATCCAGTAAGATTTTATTTAAAAAAAACAGGAGGCAGGCTACATTTGGCCCAAGGGTCTTAGTTTTCTAATCCTGGATTTAAAGGATCTATTGTATTTTCTGCTTAAAGAGTGTAAGAACCTAAGTCAAATTTTACCACCCAGCGTTTTGTTTGTTTGCTTATTTTAGCAAACTAACAAAGGAAAATCCATGTTTGGTCATGTTTTGAAAGATTAAGTGAATTCATAGCAATGATCTATTCTAAGTGTTTTTTTCCTGTGGTAAAAATGATAAAAATAATGTATTTAATATTGCTATAATTTTACTATGTAGAATAGGTAAAGTTTTCTAATCAAGATAAAAAATGTTACATATGAAATAAGGTATTCGATACAAAGTAATCTCATTGCAAACTGGCAGCTAGGGATAAGAATAAAATTACTTGAACCACAATATTCTAAACTCATAAACAGATACTTTATACAAATTTTATGGTATGACTGGTATGCTTTGTTTGGGAGAATTTTAAAACCTAATACTAATTTTAGTTTTCTTAAATTTCATTTCATCGGGATTGCTAAATCTAAAAGGAAAATATAAAATAATTACCAAATTGTTCAGAGTATGCTTGGATCCAGATTACTATAAGAAAATCATTTTACACTTTGGACTGGTCTAATATGTAAGCATCACAGGGCCTAACCACATTGTTGAAAGACAGAAAGTTAAGTGAATCATATTAATCCTAGCACTGTAAATTAATCATCTACCAACTTTTACAAAAAAATATATTTTCTAGTACATTTGTAATTATATTTCTTAGGAATACTTTTATTAAAAAAAGTTTAATCATTCACACAATTTCCAAATTTAAAAGCAGCACTATTATTTTTCTACCACTGAACTTACTGTTTTTCTTAGACTACATTAATGAAAAATAATAATCCTCATAAAATTTATTAACATTAGATGTGCAGTTTAAAATAAAGAAACTGATTGCTCTTATGTGCATGTTCTCAGAAGATGAGAACCCAAAAAAACAAAAAATAAATAAAAAATTATACCATAGCTGGATGGTAAAAATCGCAAATTATCCATATATTATAAATTTATTTAAAATTAAGATTTAGTCCTAATTATAAACATCTTTAGATATCATATTAATCCCCCTTTCTAGAATATGCAAAAGCTATTAAAGTTCAAATATATTTTCATACCTAATCATTTAACAAATTTATTTAAACCATGTCAGGAAACTGAAAATATGCCTGGTGACATTATTATTGTAACAAAGGAATAAAAGTACACCTGCTGATTTATATAACTAGTTATTAAAATTTTCAATTATAACAAGAAAATCTTGTGTTTAAGTGATATTCAAAATACAATTACACTTACTTCTAAATGAAGAATATTTATAGAAAAATAATCAGCTATGTAAGTAGAAAAAGGCAAGCCATTACACTATAAATAAAACAAGCAAGTAAAGCAGTACTGTTAGTATAATATCTAAATATAGAAAATAATACTCTCAATAATTATTCAAAAATATTAGCAAATATTTTCATATCTTTGTGTTTTATAACTCCAGGAGATATTCAATTTTCTTGATTTTTTGAAAATTACTTAAATTCAAATATATGGGAAAAATGTTTAATAAAAATTTCTTTGCAACTGCTATTCTAATAGTGTTAGTGTGCGTGCGTGAGTGTGTATGTGTATGTGTGTGTGTGCGTGTGTGTGTGTGTGTGTGTGTGTGTGTGTGTGTGTGTGGTGGTTTCAGGGCTGGAGATGGAAAAGTTTCTAGTCATTTTCATAAGCTGAGTCATTTCAAAGTCTCCTAAGACAGTTAAAAGCATACATGTTAAATGTTAGAATTTCTAGAGAACTATTTATCCACATAATTGTTTACCATTCAGACTGAAAGCAATCAAGAGTTCTGGTCATTCCCATTTTCATCAGGAAATTGCAGAGAAAGTCTTCTATTACTTCAGGTACTGCATGCTTTGAAGGAAGAACTGTTTTCCGTTCCTGAAATTTAAACGTGCATTTATTTATTTTGAAAACATCAAAGCATTATTTAATGGTACAGATAAGCCTTTGACTCATTCATTCATCCCTTCATTTTTTTTTCCAACATTTGTTGACTATTAAATGCCAGGATCCATTAATATTTTTATTACTGGGGATAAAGCAGACAAAAGCAAACAAATCTCTGGATGGAGACAGAATATGAATAACTAAATAAAAAACATACACTACAACAATTTGAACTAAATGCCTTGTTGGTACTAAGTGCCTGGAGTGGGGAGAAAGTAGACGATTAAAGATAGAACCAGGTGCAGGACAAGTATTTATGTGAACCTGGGTTGCTACATATTTAGGATGATGAAGATGTCATTGATAAAAATGTTGTCTGAGTATAAATCTAAACAAAGAGATAGAGAGTCTTATGTTCCAGATTCTAGCTGCATCAGCAAGTGCAAAGGCCCTGAAACAAGACTGTGATTGGATTTTCTAAAGGATAATAAGAAGGTAGGTTTGCCCTTTCAATAGCACAGAGAACAATAACCAAAAAAAAAGGAAAAAGAATGCATGGACCTTTTAATACTTTTAATTATTACTTAAAAAGAAATACAATAATTTTAGTACCATGATTTTTAGAAACACTATGGAACAAATATTTAGTGACAAAAAGAGCTTATACTGCTATTCCATATGGAAATAAATAAGTCTATCAACTGGATCGGGGTCAACTAACAGTTCTTATAAATAAAGTTTGTTAGAGCACAGCATGCCCATTTGTTTATATATTATGTATGGATGCTTTTACACTACATGAGACAGTTGACTAGTTGTCACATATTCCTTATGGCCCTCAAAACCTAAAGTGCGAATTGAGTAATCCCTAATCCAAAAATTCAAAATCTGAAATGCTCTAGTAGCCAAAAATTTTGAAGCACCAACATGACACCACAGATAAAAAATTCCACATGTAAGTACTTAACACAAACTTTGTTTCATATACAAAATTATTTAAAATATTGTATAAAATCAACTTCAGGCTATGTGTATGAGATATATACAAAACATAATGAATTTCAAGTTTATAACTGGGTCGCAGCCCCAAGATATCTTAGTGTATATGTGAAACTAAATAATCCAAACCTAAAGCTTTTGGAACTTTATACTTGTTAAAGCTTTAGAGGAATGGGAATATGTGGCCTGAGCCATGCAGCATGCAGCTGTAACTTCCACTTCTTCGAATATAGATTAAATATCTTCTTCATTATTGCCCTATAAATGATTAGGAAAGATGGAATACCACCAGAGATAAGACTCCTTTAGAACAATGCCCTTCCTTGCAGAATGTTAAAGCAATCTTCCTTGGAATGTACCAAGGTGTAAATCAACCAAATCATTACAAACTATGTAATGACCTTGTATGGAAAATGCTATAACCGTGTTAACTTCTGTTTCTGTCTATATAAGTTAAAACTTAACTTCCCCACTTTGGAATGCTCACTCATTCTTTTGGAGACTGTGTTTCCCAGGTGGGTATCCTCACTTGAATAACACTAAATATTTTCCAAATGTCACTATCATTGATATGTATTTGCGATATTCCAACATCTGACAAAAAAAAATCCAAAATCTGAAACACTCTAGTCCCAAGCATTTTGGATAAAAGAAACTCAAATTGTATAAACTATTTTGACAGAACATCTTAGCAGGTCTAAAGCTGGAAAAATGAAGATATTTCTGCAAGTAATAAATGAAATTGGGATAGCCATAAAAACTATCATATCATGCAAGTCAGTGTACAAAATAAATCAAATAATGGGTAGTTTCTCAAAAGTAGCAAGGAATGGGGAATACTAGTTCTATTTAGTGGAATGAAATGTAGCCCAGTAAAAATAAAATTAAAAAAATAAAAGAATCTGTCTCAAGTGCTTTCACTTCTTCACATTGGCAAGAAGTCACTAATTTGTTTGATGACATTCAAATAAGCAGATTTATTCTCACCTACAGAAATTCAGCAGCAAATTTTCCTTTTGCCTTCTCTTTCCCAAGCTGGTAATGGTTATATAACAAGTTACACAGAATGCACAGAATGTTTACATAGAAATCCAGAGGAAAGAGGATCTTTGCCGTCTCAAACAATTCTTTCCAAAGTGCTATACATAATTCAACACTGATGTTTATTAGTAATAGCTGCTATGACATTCACAATAGTGGTACGTTGAGGCAAATTTTGGCAAACTTTGAAAATACAGTGAAAGAAAGAAAAAGGGTAAAACACAATGAAACGTGTATGAGATCTAAAAAAACAGCCTCAAAAGGGAAAATCTAAGAGTTATTGGTCTTAAAGAGGACCTAGAGGCAGGGAGGGAGTAAGAGAGAGAGAGGTAAAAAGGAGCTAGAGAAAGACATAGGTGTAGAAAGTTTATTTAAAGGGATAACATCAGAGAATATACCAACCTAGCAAAAGATATCAGTATTCAAGAGCAGGAATATTATAGAACACCAAGCACATTTAACCCAAAGAAGACTACCTCAAAGCACTTAATACTCAGATTCCAAAAAGTCATGAACAAAGAAAGGATTCTAAAAGCAGCAAGAAACAACATATATATCTCCAATACATCTGGCAGCAGACTTTTCAGTGGAAACCTTACAGGCTAGGAGACAATGGTAAGGCATGTTTAAAGTTATAAAGGGAAAAACTTGTATCCTAAAATAGTCTAACCAGTGAAATTATCCTTCAAACCTCAAAAATCCATGAAGGCAAAATAAAGATTCTCCCAGACAAACAAAAGATCAGGGGTTCCCTCAACACCAGACCTGTCCTACAAGAAACGCTAAAGGGAGTTCTTCAGTCTGCAAGAAAATAATGTTAATGAGCAAGAAGAAAGCATCTGGAGGTACAAAGCTCACTGGTAATAGTAAGTACACAAGCACAGAACATTGTAACACAGTAATGGCGGTATGTAGACTACTCATACTTTGATAGAAAGACTAAAAAGGAGCTGATCAAAAATAGTAAGTACAACAACTTCAAAATATAGACAGCGTAATAAGATATAAATTGAAACAATAAAATTTTAAAGGTAAAAGGATTAAGTTAAAGTGGAGAGATTTCAGTAGTTTTCTCTTTCCTTTTTTTATTTGTTTATGCAATCAATGTTAAGTTGTCATTAGCTTAAAATAATGAGTTATCAAATAGTATTTGCAAGCCTCATGGGAATCTCAAATCAAAAAACATACAACAGATACACAAAACATAAAAAGCAAGAAACTGAATCGTACCACCAATCACCCTCACTAAATGGAAGACAGTAATTAAGAAGAAAGAGAAGACCACAAAACAACCAGAAAACAAATAACAACATGGCAGGTGCTTTCACCTTAGTTATCAATAGTAACACTGAATATAAATGGACTAAAACCACCTCCAATAAAAAGATATAGAGTGACTGAATGGATGAAAAATTAAGACTCAATGATCTGTTTCCTACAAGAAACACACTGTACCTCTAAAAACATACATCAACTGAAAATAAAGGAATGGAAAAGATATTCCATGCAAATGAAAACCAAAAAAGAGCAGGAGTAGCTATACTTACATTAGATAAAAGAGATTTCAGACAAAAACTATAAAAAGAGACAAGAATGTCATTATATAACGATAAAGGGGTCAATTCAGCAAGAAATTACAAAAGTTGTACCCAACAGTGAAGCATCCAAATATATAAAGCAAATACTATTAGAGCTAAAGATAAAGACAGACCTCAATACAATAATATCTGGAAACTTGAAGACCCCACTTTTGGCACTGGACATATTATAAAGATAGAAAATCATCAGATTCATCAGACTTAATATCTGCACTATAGACCAAATAAACCAAATAGCTATATCACAGAACATTTCTTCCAGTGGCTGCAGAATGCACATTCTTCTACTTACCACATGTATTACTCTCAAGAATAGACTATCTATCTCTATCCTTGAGATGTATATGGCCTGGCATATTGGGCCAAAAAACAAATCTTAAAAAATAAAACCCTGAAATTATGTCAAGTATTTATTCAGACTACAATAAAATAAAGTTAAACACCAGTAACAGAAGGAGTTTTGGAAACTATACAAATGCATGGAAATTAAACAATATGCTGATGAATAAGAAAAGCAAAGAGGAAATTGAAAAATTTCTTGAAACAAATGATGATGGAAACACAACATACTAAAACCAATGAAATATAGTGAAAGCAGTACTAACAGGGAATTTTTTAGGTATAAGTGCCTGCATCAATAATAAAGAGAAATTTTAAATAAATTACCTAATGATTCTTTTTTTAATTGCATTTTAGGTTTTAGGGTACATGTGAAAAACATGCAAGATTGTTGCATAGGTACACACGTGGCAGTGTGATTTGCTGCCTTCCTCCCTTTCACCTACATCTGGCATTTCTCCCCATGCTATCTCTCCCCACCTCCCCACCCCCCGCTGTCCCTCCCCTATTTCCCCCCAACTGACCCCAGTGTGTAGTGCTCCCCTCCCTGTGTCCATGTGTTCTCATTGTTCAACACCCACCTATGAGTGAGAACATGTGGTGTTTGATTTTCTGCTCTTGTGTCAGTTTGCTGAGAATGATGGTTTCCAGGTTCATCCATGTCCCTACAAAGGACACGAATTCATCATTTTTGATGGCTGCATAATATTCCATGGTGTATATGTGCCACATTTTCCCTGTCCAGTCTATCATCGATGGGCATTTGGGTTGGTTTCAGGTCTTTGCTATTGTAAACAATGCTGCAATGAACATTCGTGTGCATGTGTCCTTATAGTAGAACAATTTATAATCCTTTGGATATATACCCAGTAATGGGATTGCTGGGTCAAATGGAATTTCTATTTCTAGGTCCTTGAGGAATCGCCACACTGTCTTCTATAATGGTTGAACTCCCATTTAGACTCCCACCAACTTCCTGACACCTTACACTAAAATTAACTCCAGATGGATTAA